CTTCCTGTCTCATATCCAAAACAAGAAAATCCCTTCAAATTAATGAAATTCCTTAGGGACCCCCAGGTCTCCAGAACAAGTGTCCTTCCCCATTGGAAATGTTATCCCTCTTTATTACTTTTCTAGGGATAACACAACATGGGTTTCTTTTATTTTCTTTATTTTCACTTTCACTGATAATGGTAAACAGGACAAATAGAGAGGATGAATCTCCCTAACAGTGACACAGACATCAATAAAAAATTACAGGTTTTCTAATTAATCTCTACTTCATCTAAAACATTAAAAAAAAGTTTGCCTTTAGTTATACTTTAACTCAGTGCAAACATAATATATTTTAGTGCTACCCAAACCTACTTATTTCTGTACCACCATCACAATCTTAGCTATATCTGAGTGCTGTCTGTACTACTGAATGTTATTATAGTTACCACTGCCAAAACAACTCTGTTTTTAATAGATGTGAGAATGAATTCTTGATCAGAAACTAATCCACACACACACTCCTTCCGGCCTTCATGTATCCCCTACATTCTTATCTGAGCATCTGCACTTTAAAAGATTGATTTACTAAAGGCAAAAAGGCTATTCACTTTGCAAGGTAAATTTCCCTTAGCTTAGTTAACATGGTGAAAATTCACTTTGAGTAACAAACCATATGTAAGGTTCTTCACATAATTGGATGATAGAAGTAAGCAGAACTGCACCTAACTCGCTAAACTAAGGGAATATTCCCTTGAAAATTGAATGCAATTGCAAAGTGAACAGTCTATTTGCCTTTTGGTAAATCAGCCTCTAAGAATAAAGTTTCTAGAGTATGTACTGCCCCATCAGTTTAGCCATGGTGCCCTTTTAAGAAGTCACATCCTATTCACTTATTCAGTCGACTCTCAGCACCTTCTAACTCACTCCACAGATACAACATACGACTGTACCATAAACACATTCTCATGTACCTGATTGTGGATCCTGAGATGACAAGGGTGGCCTCTTGTACAATTCCTGTCTAATCATCCCTGGTAGTGAGAATAGGGACTATTAGGGCAGTGGAAGGGCACAGGTGCCAGGAACCTGGAACAGTGAACTTGAGCATGGAAAACAGAGATGAACCAGGTAGAAGTATGGAGTCAGGTCACCAGGTGGGTTCCAAAGCAGCCAGGCAGCTAGGATAACAACCAGGTACCAGGTTGGAGACAGGCAAGGGTTGGCAACATACTGGCAGCGAGGTAAAAAGTTAGGAGGCAGATGAGCAACAGGCATAACAGATGAGGGAAGTACAGGAATAAGAGAAGTTTCAGACATAGCTGGGTCAGTAGCAAGATCAGCAAGTTCAGAAATACAGGACACAGGTTTGCTCAGAGGCCCATACGTGATCAAGTGCACATGCATTCTTGTCTTTGCATCTTGTTGAGCATCTATGTCCCTGCAAATGTGTATGGGAATGTGCACGAGCTGCACGGAAATAAGCACTTGCTGCACAAGGTTCCTGACACTCACACTCGGCTATCATGCACATAAATCCTAAACGTGCTACTCTACCTTTTATCTGTTCTCTAATGTGAACGATTTGGCATATGTCCTGTTAGTTTGTTGTGCACTTAATAAGTTTGCAAAAGCTATGAAGCAGTCATGTAATTTATCCTACAGCAGAGCTGCACAGAAAACCTCTTCCATCCTTCCTTGCAGCTGTCATGTTATGTCAGAGATATGATGAAAAAGTAGGAGAAAAAGGTGTGAGCAAAAAATAAAAAATACAATGAATTATACATGCTAATGCACTGATGATTATCATACAACTGTGCTCAAAACCTGGTGTCCACATAGTAAACCACTTGTAATACTGTATGTTACTGTAATGACTTTAGATCTAGTATACTGTAAATGATATGTGTTGTAAAATGCTTTAATGTGTATTAAACATGCAGTAAATGGAGGGAATGGTTAAATGTGGCTCACTGTGAGGTCACTACTTTGCTGTTAGTTTGTAGGGTGACCGTATCTATCAATTAGAGTTCACAGACTAGAATACGGTTACCCTATGTTCAGAATATAGGTAGATTGCTTTTTTTTGTTTGTTTTTCATAGTATGCAAAGCTGCTGTACTGTGCTTCTGTACTATGATGATCACCATAAATATCAATTATCAATGTTTGTGATGATAAGTATTCATACTTATTTCTCAGTGATGAGCTCATATGTTAGAGAATACATAAAATAGTGCATTTTATTGAAAAAATCTGATATATAGTTATTTGGCTTTGTAAAATGTGTACAGGCATTTTAATACTAAGTTTAAAGCATTGTGCCCCTTGCTGCGGTAGGGATTACTCTGAATTGAATTATCTATCTCAAACATAAAAGCCAGCATGCAGAAGCGACATTGCTACTTCACAGATACAGTACATGCTTTAATGCGGCAAGCACAGGAATATTTTCATTCTCTGCTGCTCAGTGCAACCTCCAGTGGTAGACTTGAAATTTACATCTGAAAGCCACAAGAGTCTTATTGTACTACAAGAGCTTTAATATTTCATTCCTATGTACCATATATTTGTGTTCTCCTGTCAATAAATATAGTTCTTGAGAAGTGCTTGTGGAATTCTTTGAACTCCAAAATTATTAAAAAATAAGACAACACAATTTATAACTAACACATGAGCCTGCACAATGGCTACTAGTGGAATATAAATGCAGGCTTTATTTGCAGTGTGATTAAAGTCAGATAGATAAAGTACCGTGGCTAGTAGCTGAGAGATTTAATAAGTATTTTCTGTACGGTGGGCTGACTTGATTACTAATATTCATCTTATATGTCACAGTTGGGGTTCTATGCTATTGCATGCTTAATACCTCCCGCTTGCCATTACCTTTGCATTTATCAACAGATAAATATTGTCATGTTCCAAGGTATTCAGTTTTATTAAAAGCTGTTATTATATTTGTTAGAGGCAGGAAATGGTGTGCTAAATATATTCTTTTTGACAGAATAAAGTGCATACCTCTGTATAATGAAATGGTTATGAGCCTGTAACTAGTGATGAACTAATCTGTTAGGATTCCTATACTTCTCCCACACTGTAGCCCATGGTCAGGACCCACCATTGGTGGCTAATTATAATGACCAGTGTGACATGCTATGGTTTTAAATGTTTCTCTTACTTTGTAAAGAAAAATGTCAGATAAGACAGTGTCAGAAATGTTCTGAGAATTGTAATTCTGCTTTACCTTGCTTTCTATAGTGCACAGTTGCTAACAGTGTGAATGCTAATGTTTATATAATAGAGATGAGGTGTGTGATGAAATCTTGGTGGATTTAACAGTAGTCTGCCACTCCCTGTAGACCTGTGGAAATCAGCTACATTGGTGACTATATATACTATCTTATAAGGCAGAAATGTTAGTTTTCAGATCATTAGTTACATAGTTAGTCTGGCTGAAAAAAAAGACAAAAGTCTATCCAGTTCAACCATCAAAAAAAAAAAAAGTTATAATCCTACACCCACAGTTGATCCAGAGGAAGGCAAAAAAAAAAACAGCAAAGCGTGATCCAATTTGCTCCTGCAGGGAAAAAAATTCCTTCCTGATCCCCTGAGAGGCAATCGGATATTCCCTGGATCAATTTTACCTATAAATGTTAGTGATTAGCAAGTGTAAGGGCTCAAGCATATGGGCGTTTGCATTAAATGCAGCTGTTTCCATTCAAACAAATCACTACTCACATTTTCGCACACATTTGAAAGGAAGGCATACATTTGATAAGAAAGTGCTTCACTTGACCTGCCTAGCCTGCAATTCAAATTCTTCTAAATATCGCATGCTGTATCCGAAGAAATGCAACGCTACAAAAAGCAGGGCAAACACAGCCTCAGAGCTGTCATGTACACTACTTCATTGAAGTCAATGGAAATAAAATGGCCTACAGTTGACATGCCTTTTAAATCCATGGCAATAACTGGAGAACAATGCCTGTACAGTTTTTATTTTTTTTACCTACTTAGTGATCTGGCCACTAACACACACCCTGTATTGTGCCTACTGTCTAAATGAAGGATCACTGGAGACACCTTTGGACAGCAGCAGTGTCAGTCTTGGGGGAGGGTAGTGTTAGATGCACTAGGAAAGTTAGATCCACTAACACATTGAAGACAAACTCCAGCTAACACTTTTTAGGCAGTTACAGCAAACAGTTTCCTTTTCTTTTGCGATAAAGGTTTTACATAAATAAATAAAAGCCGATCATTGTAAGCACCCCTGTCAGGACAGCGTGTTCTGTTGAAAAACAACATGCTTACTGGTAGGATCGCCAGGTGAAAATAAAAAAAAGCCAAAAAATGTAATTGTTTACAGCCATTACATCTGAAAATTGGTAAGCTGCAATTTAATAATGCAGCCCAATAAAACGAGGTATTACAGTTATTCTTTCTATGTCTATTGATTTTCAGCTGGATATTGATCAGCCAAAGGGTCCTTTATCTGCCTGTTTATAGGCTGAATATTAACCAACTAGTTATACATTGCTTTAATCTATCACAATATTAGTGGTTTAATCTAAGTTTATAAACATCTTAACCTTTAAATTTCATTAAAGCATAGTGATATTAAGGGCCATAACCTACAAAACAATGAATGTTTTTTTATAGCCTTCAACAAACCATATGGTTGGTTTACTCAAGGAGTTGACAATGTTCAGTCAATAACAAAGAGGATGATTTTTTTCTCACAAGTAAAGAATGAAAATTCACTCCAGTTATCCAATCCTGTGAAAAGTGTATTCTTATTTATTAAATCTGCTCATGATAATTGAACTTAGATAGTTAAAGTGAATCTTTGTTCTTTTTTAGTGAACATTCTCAACTCTTTTACTAAATCAGCCTCAATATACTGTATCAGTGTTGATGTATGTTATTCTATAAGCAATGTATTTATTTCAATTACTCAATATAAATAAAGCACCCTGGTGATTAATATGTATACCTTATCTTTTCTTCTCTCAATAACAGACAGACTTTGAAAAAGATGTGGACATTGCTTGCCGGTCAGGTAAGAGCATATATCAACTGAAAAATCGATCCAACTCTGTGAGAATAGTACAAGTTTATGATTACAAACAGAGACTGCTAGGTTCCCTGTTGCTGAAAAAAATGGGTAGCACTCTTAGTAATTTTTCAAAATTGAAATAAAATGTCGCTTGTCACTGTGAAAACATGCAACAGAAATATTATTGTATTGTAGAGACTGAATGTGAAACCGCCAGCCAAGCTCTAGTGTATATCAGCAATTCTAGTTCTAACCATAAATCATAAAAACACACTTTTAAAGCTTTTATTGTAAAAAAAGTTCACTAGAATGATCCATTTAGCTGCCTTTGTAGTAAGACTTTAAATTTTGCAATTCTACTATTCATTACGGTCACTAAAAAAATCTGTGCAGTAAGCATATTGATTAGCATTTACAGAGCTACATGAGATATCAGTATAGCCAAGACAAAGACCTCTGGGCCTGTCACTTTTGTAAAACAAGAAGCTTGGCTCAATTCACCAAGCTATAACACGTGTTACTTACCATAACAATTGCTACTCTTAGAAATATGACAGTCATTTTCAGCTGCTATTGCTGAAACAATAAACATTATGGCAGATAACAAATACTATAGCTTAGTAAACTGTGCCTATAATCCCTACACTTCAAACAAAATGCTGTGCAAGTCGTAAACATTTTAGATTATTTGGGAGGAAATATAACAGATCAGCTGCTGTTTTTTTTTTTATCTTCACCATACATTTCTTACTAAACATGATAATGTTTCTCTCTGCAGCAAAATATGTTTTGGTTCCATGAGAATAAAAAAATGTGATTTTAAAGCGAAACTCTAGGTTTTTTGAGAAAAGAAACCAACCTGTTCGGGTCATCTGTATAGACAGTGCAAGAATTCATGCAAAGTAGATGGCAAATGCCTTATACATGATGCTTTATACACTTCAAGCATTTGAATTTGGTTGCTAAGTTGGAATTATAATTACCTAATCAATCCCAGTGTTGTAACAAGAAACACCATCATCTTTTGAAATGAGAGTCAATTTAAAACTCCTGATCTGCATACTCATGCAAGTTCATGACTTAGAAAGTGTTGAAGTCAGTGGATCAGCACGACAGCCAGGATATAATATATATGAAAAAAAGAAAGTTCAGCAATGGCATATATCCTTTCATATAGGTTTACTATGTGGACATTGCCTGGGATCCCACAAAAGCTCCTAGAAATTTGACATAAAGTGCTACATACATACATTTCTGCAAGACACGTTCAAGTTCAATAAGGCTAAAGACTCTAGAAAAACGGGTGTAAAAATTACTCTGCCATGTCTGCAGAAAAAAACAAAATGAAATGTACTAGGTTGTTTTAGAAAATGATTGCTGGCCCAGCTTGCTAAAGAAACATAAATAAATTACAAAATAACTTGTGTAACAATTGTATATGTTAAATCAAGGTTAACAGCTCTGGAGTTTTCCTTTAAACCTGGCAATGTAGATATATTAATTAGGGATGATGTAATCAGACGATTTACAGATTCAACACCATTTTACTTCCTGAATATAATGCAGAGAATTAAATACCCCTTAGGTATCAGGAAATGACGATTGAAGAATGCATGATGCTCTGAATACATGTATTAAAGTCCAGCTCCAGCCAAAACCTTTTTTTTTTATAGTTGTTGGGAAAGCTTTCCCTCACTTCTCCTGGTGATCAAACAAGATAGTAAGGAGATCACCCTATAAGAGACCAAGACAACAATAAAAATGTGACAGAAGTGTTTATACTTTCCCACTCTTTTAAAATAATTGCCTGTGCCCCATCATTGGAGAGATTGTGTTTATTCACTGGTAACCACATAGGAGTAGGTTACTGGAAGCAGCAGTTGTCATTTAGCACCCCCCCCCCCCCTCACCAGCATCCCTTTAAAAATGTATTAATACTGTTAATTAAATATTATTAAGCTATTATTTAGCATGATATTTATTCAACATGTTTCACATGTTCCCCAATAGTATGTAAGCACAATATTTAAGCTGTTAAAATCAGGCAACCTTTCATTTTTCTCCACCACTGCACTAACATGCACTACCCCACTCTGAAACACTGCATCAACATGCACTGGGGGGAATTTAACCAAAACTGGAGCAGACCAAATCTGGAGCAGTTGTGCATGGCAACCAATCAACCTCCATCTTCAGCTTGTTCAGTTTACCTGTTGAAAATAAAAATAAAAATGGATTGGTTGCCATGACAGCTGCCCCAGATTCTGTCTGCTGCAGTATTGATTAATTCCACCAAATGAGGGGATTTATCAAAACTGGAGCAGACAAAATCTGGAGTCCTGTCTCGACTATCACATCGATGGTATTCATCATGTTCAACCAAATGTTTGTCAGGAATCATTAAAAATACCACTAATAAATGCGTAGTCAGCCTGGTAGTTTGAATGCATTTCCTTCTATGACAGATGGTGTAGCATACATTAATGATTGTTTATGAAAATTTTACATATATTTCTGTTATTTAAGGGGAAATCCATGATGTCCAAATATTTAGTCTTGCTATTCCAAACAAAAGCCAAATAGTATTTAATTTTTTTACCCTTTCAAGGTAGTAATCCAGTTGCCACCTTCATCCTATTGCAATGCCCTGCTCTTTACATTTTCAATAATCCACCTGAACCTGTTTCCAACATATATTTATAGACATATGGGAAAAAATATTGTTGGCTGCTGTCCCCAGAGAATACCATCTAAGACAGTGTTCTAGTCTTCTTTACAGGAACAGGAAAAATGTATGCCATATTTGTTTAATCCCTTCACACTGACCATACACAAATATGCAGCCACACTGGACTGGGCTTTTTTTTATAGGGCCATATATTTGCATACCTGTCTTTGTGCTGGAAGCATGACATAGGTCACGCTCCCAGTACAGAGACCGGGGTCTCACCAAGAACCCAGAGTCCCATGACAATAATCGGGACCCGGAACTCCTGATTCTGGGTCACCTGATCGCTGTGATAGCCTCTGATTGGCTATCAAAATGATAATTCACTGTGAAGCCCACCCTAGTGATTTCTCTCTCCGAATGGAGGTGAACGACACATTGTATCCCTGTTTTGTTCTTTCAGAGAGAAAAAAATTGTGTAAAAAAAAAAAATAAATAAATAAAAATACCTAGATCAAGGTTTGATCTAGGTCAGTGTCAGGGTTAGTGTTTGGGTCAAGGTCACAGTGAAAGGTCAAGGCCAGGGTAAAGTGTCAGGTTCAGTATTTTTATTTTTTTTTTTTGGTCAAGATTTTTTTTAATTATTAATATCGTATCAGTGCCAGTTAGTGTCAGTGTCAGTGTATTTTAGGCAGGATAAAAAAAGCAAAGTGCGCATCATTTCTAGCCATAGGCAGAAGCAGGAGAATTTATTTTTGGTTGTTCTTTGGTGGTAGGTTATGGTAGTAGCAACAGATATACAGCTAAATTTTTAAAAAAATATATTTTTGTTTTACTATTTTGGCCCAGTTTTCCTTTGGTAATAAAAAAAAATCAGGAGATATCGATTACCATTCACCACCAAATGAAAGCCCAATTTGTCCTGAAAAAAAGGTGTAATTCACCTGGAGGCCTAATGTAGTTGTGATGATGTGCGGTTTTACTAAGACATGTTAAAGATGCAAAATTGTGCTTAGGCTTTAAGATTTGTTTTACCATTAGGTGTGAAGGGGTTAGAGTCCTGTTCTAATATTTATTTGCCTAAACAAATGCATTTGACATTAAAAAAACTGCAAAATCTAATTTATTTCTAAGAGATATGTCACCAAGCCATTGTTTTCTTATTAATTTCTTCCACCCTAAAGAGCTATATACAGTAGATATTATTGACATAAAGCACTAAAAATTGTTATTACAAGACAATGCCTATGTTGACGCTACAATGCATCTGGAATGCGTGATGATGAGGACGAGGGCCTTATCCCCACAACTCTGGTCCAGCATTTGTGGGAGTGTGCAGGCAGAGGGCTTACTGTATTCTAGAAACTGAATACCAAACTCTATGCCCTCCCAATATTTAGAAATAGAAACTGTAATCTATAAACTGAACAAAAAACTCTATGTGAAAAATTCTATGTAGCGCAGTGGCTATATTGCCTTCTGAGGCATTAACCTTTTTTAAAGTGTTTACTTTCAGTTGCTGTCTCCTATTTGCTCTTCTATTCCTACCTCTGTAGAATCTTAGTTAGCCAATATCTCCCTTCCTACTCTTACTAACTCTCAGCAAGACAATCTTAATGCTCCTTGCACAGAGGAAGAAATTTTAAGGGTTATTAAATCCCTTAAATACACTACTGCCCCAGGACCAGATGGCTATACTACTCCTTACGTCTAGCACTATGTTTCCCTCTTTATCCCTAGATTGAATTCACTATTTCACTTCATTTTACAAGGTCATAACTTTCCTGAGGAGTTGTTTTTTGGTCAATGTGTCCTTATTTCCAAAGCCAAATAAGAACCATTTGTTACCACAAAATTATAGGCTTATATTGACGATCAATAATGATCTCAAGATTTTCAGTATTGTCTTTACCGACATACTTGCCTCTATAATCTCCACCCTTGCTTCCCTGACCAGTCACGATTTATTCAGACTATTCATTCATTCTAGAGAGGTCCTATTACTTAGTCTTTGACAGTGTAATTTTGACCCTACCTGCTGATTCTTTGGTAGCAGTATGGCTTTAATGGTGAGTTTCTATATGGCTTCCAAAGTTTGCACCACACTCTTAAAACTAGAAATAAAACCCCGGGGTGTAATTCTGGGCTCTTTCTGTTGGGCCAGGGTACCCGTCAAGGTTGCCTCCTTTCCCTATTACTCTTTACGCTTGCTATGTAGTTTTTAGTCACTGCCATCAAGTTGCAGCAGGATTATGTTGGATATTCCAATGGCTATCATAGCTTCAAACTGTGTAAGTATTCAGATTAGATTATATTGTTTTTCTCCCAACCATTG